TGTCTCGCCAGTGCCAGGTATGTGTTTTCACATGTTTCCAGAGTTTTCTGTAATTCATTTGATATTATACGACTGTAGCTCCCAGGGAATCCCAGTCCCTCTGCCTGTGCTATGCAGGACATGTTTTGCTGGCTGAGCAAATGTAACAGGTTTTTCTAGGATTAACACATACCATTACAGTACTGGGGGTTGTATGGGGCAAAGCAGTTCTGCATAGGTAGCATCCCTGGCCTACAATGAGCAGCACCTCTTGTGTGTCTTTGAGACTTGCACACCTTGCTCTCCAATTTTTTTTGTGTGTAAGATAATTTTTGTGTTGCCTTTATTAATAGGCTGGTTGCTTCGTCATAATGTATGAATTGGTTTTGTATTTGCTTGAACTACTGTAGAGATCCCCTGCTGTGTACATGCTGCCCCTGTATCTGGTGAAACATTTTATCCCACCTCATAAAGTTGTGGCACAGTGAACATAGTATATTTGCACTGTGTGTATTGTCTTGCCAAACACAGGACAACAATGATTTGGCTTGCCTAATACCTGGTGTTTATCTGGCTTAAATTTTTAAAGTGATGGATTTGTAATTGTGTGTATGTTGCCTGCATGCCAAAGTGAAACGAAGAGAAACAGTGGGTCTGCTCTTTCATTCATTGTCTTCTGGATTGATGGGCAAACACATGATGTAGGTAGAATAAATCAGTGATGTTTTTAAACTGTTGGTGCTTTCAAAACAGGCAGTTGTGTGTGCAGATATTTAACTTGGAGTAGTTTCCTTCCATGTCCCAGTGGCTAAATATAGAAAGCGTTACGAACACAATGAGAAACTCAAATTTGCATGGATCTTTTCATGTGGATAAATGTGTTTGCCATTCAGGGATTTTTTTTCCTTTTAATTTATTTTTGAAACAGCTCAGGATGTCAGTGTAGATCTCCCTTTAGTTTGTGTGCTTATACAGGCAGAAGATGGTGTCACACAGGCAAGAGGTCAGCCCAGACCACTTCTGGGGAGGTGATGGGTTGTCGTGTCCACGTCCATGTACCCGACGGGGTGTAGGAGGTTACTTGACCTTCAACCTCGGGGTCAGGTGACTCTTTGAGGCCATTGTGTGAGGAGCAAATGTCGCAGGAATGGGTTAAAAAGGCTGAGCAGGGGAAGGTGACATGTCTGGGCATGCTGCCTTAAAGGAGAGGTAGAAAAATGGGGAGAGGTTAGAGTCACTGATGTGAACGATTCCACCTGGACTTGTAAAGAAATGATCAGCTCAAAAGACAAATACTCATCTTACCTGGTTGGTTCCTTTGTGTATTTTTATTAAGGAATTTTGGAGCATGGATAAGGTAAAATAGCTGCTTCATAATTGCTACTTCAGTTCAGTTTACACAACACTGCCTCAGTCTCTGTAAATGAGCTTAAAAAAAGGCAACTACACATGACATGGAAGATAAGGAAATGACTGAGCAGAATTTCAGCATGTGAATCCAAGTTAGTGTACATTGTGTTTCCCATGTTTTCCTACTTTGTATTATGCAGATATGGAGGGAGGGGGGTATCAACAGGAAAATCCATCAGCTGCCTGCTTAGCTGTAGTCTGTAATTATCACGTGCAATTAGGGCCACAGCAAACAATTTTAGTATTGATTTATGTGTTGATCTTTAAGTTTATTTTTTTAATGTTAGGAGTGATGACACACACCCTTTTCAACCTGCATCCCTGTAGAGCCCATTCATGTCTTACAGTTTGTTTGTTTTTTTTTGTTTTTTTTTTGAACAGCTAAAACAGGTGATTCATTTACAAAGATATAAAACGTACAAAAGCTGCAAATCCTCGTGTTTGAGGAGCTGAAACCAGCAAATGTGTGGCATTTTTATGTGACAAGCAATGAATGGATATTTTAAAATGGCCGTTAAATTTTTTGTTATTGCTCAAGTGATTTTTTTTTAGGTGTTACTTCCCATAGTTGTCACTGTGTTCCCTTGCACAGAAGATAGGGACCCTATTAGCCCTGGACTAATACAGGGAGATTTTGTCGTGCCCCGCAGATCTGACAGTTACACACCCCTGATGTAAAGTTTTAAATTAACCACAGTGTAACTTGTGGTCTGTCAAATGTCTTGAGTATCATTAGTTGACTTCTCGTGCAATGCTTTAAACTCTGTAAAGTGTCTTACACCATTTGAAAAGCATTAGTTACCAAGTTAACAATTTTTTAAACTATAATTTATCATCCATAGGGTCACATTTTGCAAAAGCTGTGCGAAGTATTTGAGAGGCTAGAAATATTTGTAAAATTGGTGCTAAATGTAAACTAAATTTTAAGATATTTTTTGTGTTGAGACATAAATGTAGTCATGCTTTAAAAGAGCAAGGCGCTTGCACACCATTTTAAAGAACAGGAAAAATTTTAAAACACTGCACTGACTGGTCCTCGCTGTTTCCCCACCCTCCTGCCACTGTCAGGTGTGTCTGACTGGACGACATTGTTGCGCCTGTGTCTCTACCTTTGCACACCTAACAACAAATATCTGCTGCAGTCATTTATGTCCATCACAGAATACACGTGTCATGCTTTGAAACAGAAACATGAGTCAAATCCTATATTGTAAGTAAGCCTAGTAATACAGTACACAATGTGCCTTTTAGAATATCTAGGGGAAAGTCCGTGTTATTTTTATCACTGCTTGTGTATTGTATTAATAAACATTACAAAGTGAATTTTATCTGATGAAGATTTGGCCAGACGTACGAGTAGGTGACACAGAGACTTTTAGAAGATGAAGATAGGTAATGATGGCGCTTGAGGTGAAGTTAATGGAAAGTATAAGCAGCATAACAAGTCTAATGATTTTTGTGTGTATCTCAGCAATTGCACAGTTTGTGTAACTTTCTCTAAGGCACACCACAGGGTTTTTTATATTGACTTCTGACCTTTAAGTCTGCTGTTGCTTGACATGTGCAATCTATCACAGTGAACTATTTGTGGCCTTTTTTTTTTTTTGGTCTGTTATGTTATTGTTGCATGGTGGTGTAATTAAGAGCAGGGACCATTTTTGAAAACGGCCTTTTTGTGTTTGTGGGACAAGTCACATTCCAAAAAGCAACTTTTTAAATGCAGCAAGATTCATGTATCCTGTCCTGGTGTTTACCTTAGGGGTAAAATTGTGTGACAGTATACCTGGTGAAAACGCAGCTTACCCTTAAATCGTATTTTTTTTTTTTTTTTATGATCCCTGCTTGCTGCATCATTACCACGTGACAAAAATGTAACTTGGACAGAAGAATAAAAGCCACAAATTGTTAATTTTTGCCCTCTGAGCTATGTCATGTTCAGAGCTGCACTGAGATGTGTGTGTGTGAGTGAAAAAGAGAAAAGGCCAGCATGTCTTGTCATGGTCTTTTTAGAGGGGAAGTCTGTTAGAGATGTTATTAGGTTCAGGCTATCAGGTCCATTTCAGACCACGTTCATAATTGCAGGTCCATTGAGACCTCTAGTGGCAACACATCCGTTGGACCCAATCTCCTGCAAGATTGTTATCAGGACAAAGTTTGCTTTAGCGCCTCTGCATACTAACTAGGTTTTGTCGAAGGAGATTTTGTTTTAAGATTCAGATACGCTCTTGATGTTAAGCAGAACAGCTTCAAACGTCTTGTTAGAGAGGTTGAAATTCTTGTTCTAACTGGAAAAGCTGCTTTTTATGGTGCTTCATTGATTCCTCCTGTGTGCTTATTCTGCCTGGTCAGCTGTTCAACTGACGCTGGTATGGTTTCAGTGATTTGCTAAATGACACTTGGGCAGACAAACTATCTCTTGTCACTTGTGCAAACTTTGGATTTGCAGTTTTTCCATTTACATGACGCTCTTGCTTCATTAAAAGGGCTTTTTTGAAACACCAAGTGCTTGTTTCTCTGGTGAGCCTGGTTTCTAGGAAGTTAAGTTATATTTATATTAAAAAAAAAAAAAAAAAAAGATTTGCCTCATATTTTTTGCAGGTTAAGTGCAGTGTTTTGTCTGCTGGGTGCACATTTAGTGGAGGACAATGGAGTAGTAATAGCTTTGTAACCTAAGAGTGCTCAACCACTGAATGAGACACTGCACTCTCCCTCTGACAAGAAACTATCTTTGTAGCTCCGACAAAAAATGCTCACTTTACACCGAGGTGTCTGGAGAGCCCAGCGCTAATGTATGTTGCCGGGCATGAAAATGTCATGGTATTTTGAGTGATACAGGGGTATTTATTGTGAGTCATGCAAAGCACAAACTGCTATTTCTCTCAGTTCTCAGTGCTTTGCTGACACATGTATTTTTATTTATTTTTTACCATATTACTGTTGCAAAATAGTTTGGAACATTAACTATGCTACTAAACGGTTTTAGTCAATGTCAAATTTGCAATTATAGTCTCATTTTTAAGGCTGCTACAACGCAATCAATCATTATGTTTGATTTTACTAAAGTTACTTGAGTACACTCCATGACAAGTATGTTGACACCCCTGTCCCCATAGGCTGCCTGGTCCCAGTGAAGGGGAATCCTAATGTTGCAGCACACAGTGATATTTTTGATGCTTCCAGTGGTGTGGCAACATTTGGGGAAAGGCCCTTTGTGTTTCAACACGACAGCGCCCCTTTGCATTAGGCAAGTGCCATAAAGTTTGCCGGATTTTGTTGTGGATGAACTTGTGTGCACAGCAGAGAGCCTCGACCTCAACGCCATCCAACACCTTTTGGGTGAACTGAATCAGGATGATGTTGGATCTTGTGGACTGATGCCTCACTGTGTGGCTGAGGTTTCAAAATCTTATGGAAAGTTTTCCCAGAGGAGTGGAGGCTGTTACAACAGCATAGGAATTCCCCGTAGTTTTGAAATGAGATCTTCAACAACTGTATACAAGTGTTGCACTCCGTAGTCCACATATTTTTGGCTATATAGTGCCTCACACTGCATTGTGACAGGTTGTCTGCAGAGTTACATTAAACTTCATGTCTCTTTCTGTGTGTTTCAGGTGGTGAACGTCCTCGCCTGCTTTAGGAGCGGACAGAAGACTTAACTTTGCAAAAGATGCTGTCTGAACATCTTTTAGGTAGATAAATGATAGGCGCTAAGTTTGTAGCTGTCTGTAAGAATGTGATCCGGACTAGAAGCCTGGAGGATGGAGCTGATGACACAAGATGAAGGTGGAAATGGAGGAACCACGGCTGCAGTTCTGGTGATGCTGTAGCAGCACGGAATGGTTTGTGGGTTACACAGAGATGCAGGCCATACTGTGCTGCCGCAGTAGAGCCTGAATATACAACCTGGCTGTCACCTCGCTGCTCTGCAACCTGTTGACGTTGTTTACTGCCACTCTTGGATTTGGTCTCCACTGTCTGAAGTAATGCCACGTAGACAATTGTTGTCAGATGATAAAAAAGTTGGTTGGATCTGCCTCTCTCTCATTTGCCGGTCGCCTTACTGTAGCAGCACGTAAATATTGGAGTTAAGACTCTAGCTGAAGCCTCCAGTATTGATCGTGCTGCTGAAGCAAAGCTGACCACTCACAATCAGCACCACCAACCACTCAGTGTACTCACACCACCCCAGTGAGAGCTTGGGAGATTCTCACAGGTAGATTTTAAGTTAACCTCTAACACTACATTGTTTGAATAGGTCAAATGTGTATACACCTTTTTTTTTTGTTTGTTTTTGTTTTTACACGTCACTGTTCTGTCTGCACACTCTGAGAAATAAAATTTTAAATCGGCTTTTGTCTGCAATGTGTTTTGACCATGACATCCTAAACTTGTTGTTTAACAGAATGCTGTCCATTAAGTATTTAAGTATTTTATTTAAGTTATGCTAAAGGTCTTAATTTGGCCGACACTGACAATCCTTTACGTGGCTTTATATCTCAGCGCCGTGCTCAAAGGAGAAATCACGCGCATGCCGGCCTGCGTGGCCTCGCTGCAGCGCTGCTGGGATGTCCGGCCTGTTGAGCACGAGCCGTGACACACGCAGCTTTGCAGCGGATTAAAATTATTCCACATATTACATTGTAGAGTATACACACCGGAATTGTTTTTCAAACATCAAAATACATCTAGTCTATAAAAGTGCGGGTGTTTTTATCTTCGGTAAATGTTTTATAAAACAGATTTCTGCTCTGCATTTTAATCCCGGACGGTCTCTATAATGTATATGCACTTTTTAAAAGACTTAAACTCTTTACATTATTGTGTGTTATGACCGCATTATGCACACCAAGATATAATAAGTTGTGATGTGCACTGCAGCACTGTAACGAATGATGTGTTGATGATGTTCTGTAACATGGATAAAACCCTCCATTTTAAGATGCGTCGGATGTGCACGCAATGCGGACATCTCAGCTGCACCAGGACGTCCGATGACGATAATCTCAAATCACTTTTACCTAATAAAAATACTAAAATCATATTGTTCTACATCTTTTGATATTTCGTGGCATCTGTTGATAAATATGTTTTTTATTAAAATTTTAAATCACATTTATGTGAACTTTAAATAAAGTAAAATCAGATGAAGAGAAAAAAAAAATGGTTACACTTGTTTACAAAGTCGCACGGACCAGACTACTTTTTAATAATAACATGAAATAAATAAACCTGTGGCATAATTAATAACTTAATTGATTACATTTTTCACGGTGATCGTGGATTTTATTTCTGATACTAGTGTAAAGCGCATGGACATTGTGCCATCCATGAACAAACGCACGGTGCAGCAGCGTCCTTCCTTCTGGCCTCGCAGGCCTTTTTAATAACCCTGAATTCTCGTATTTGTTTTCGCATCTGTAATTATAAATAATCTGGAATTAGGTTATTTGGGAAAAGTGTAATTTACGCAAAATGATATTAAAGAGAAAGTGGTCAGATGTGTGCGCATTTATGATGGATTACTTTTTTCCTTAGCACCAAGGCTTTTTTAAAAACACAAAAATTCACACCTAAAATATATTATTATATATTATTAAAAAAGATACTAAGCATTTATAATATACATTGTTTTATACCAAAGCTGCACGATGGACCCTTTCCATGTGTGTGTGTGCAAATATTAACCACGCCAACGTAATTCATTAGCTTTTATTTAGGGAATTATTAAATTCTTATACGCGTTCCTAAGTGCAGTTATTAAATTTTAATCCCTTTATCTTTGACTGTTTGGGGGTGTTTAGGAAAACAGCACATGAAAATGTGGAAGCAGCTTAAACAGTAATGTGCGGTGTGTGTTTCCACATTTTGCCTTGCACCTGTTAAGCTTCACAATTTTTGCTTTTGTGGCTTTTATACTTATAAATTTACTTACTTTTAAATCGGTCGTGCAGATTTTATTTACCTGTATATATGTAGAATAACACGTGCGCTTTGTTTGCGCTTGTGCATTATGTGTAACCACATTATCCAGAAAATGTAAAAGTGTTAAATTAATATTATAACAATAGGAAATAAGAAGGGAAAAGATGCTTTAATGACAGGAAAAGTAAAATAGGGGTTTGCTTAAATCACCGTCACACACCCTCATAGACCCTCGGTGTGAAAGGGTGTGAGTGCGGGACCTTATTCAGGTGTGAGAGAAAATACTGGACACACTAATCATGCTATTAAGGTATCTGGATATTTAGTTATTTCGATTGATCGAATAGATGGTGATTATAAGTTTATTTTTATTAACCCTCACCACAGGCCCACTCTGATATAAAGTGACTGACCGTGCGACCTGACATTACGGTAATTCCTCAGAAAAATCACTTATGAACAGTTATACACAACATTTTCTCTTAATTTAGATTGAGTTAACGTTTTTCAGGCTATATTTAAATTTGCGTGCCGTTACAATTAAAATATTAATGTAGAGTAGTGCATTTATTTTCATCCTATATTTGCCTGGCAACAGAAGGCTATATATATGTACATGCGTGCCATGACGTACATCCTGAATTATGGTCAGTGCTGACATCACGGATTCACTTTGTGGTCTGATTTTAGGATTTTCTTTTTCAGAAAAAAAAAATGCAGCTGTCCTCAGGAGAATAAATAAATAAATAACCAGCAGGATAAATGATCAATGCACAACTCGCTGCTCGTCCCTTTTCGCTCTGACCTATTTTAAGAAAGACCACTTTTTGGTGATGAGCCAAAAATCTCACTGAACCTCCCTGAAACAACAAGAATTTTAATAACTCCCATTTGCCCACACAATTGCATTTTGATTTCAGGGCTTTACGAGTTCTACAAATTCAGATGCACAGCAGAAAATAGGCCTGCACTGTACTTTTCACTTAACAGGCTGCAGATGTTTGACTTTATAGACCGGACAAGTCATGCAACGAATGAGTCACATGAACCTCCACAAATAGATCCTGTGTGTAGAAATAAAAGTGACAGCCCAGCAGGCGTGACAATCACGTCCCCGTGCCTCAGTGTTGAATTAATGATAGGGGGAAATACAGCTCAGGTTTTTAAGGTTTCGTGGAAACACCAGAATCACAGGACCGTGCTCTGTCTTTTTGCTTTCCTCCTTCACTGTCTGCAGCCTGGTGAATATTTCACACGGGCCCTGTTATGCAACGTTAGTAACCTTGAAGAGGTTGCAGCATCACTGTGCTGCGGACGCACTCTGCAGGGAAGAGGTCGGGGATTACACTGTATATTTCTTTTATTGCACATTTGCTTCGTTAACAGGCTGCTGGCTCTAAATACTTGGCTGGTTTGGCAATAAAAAAACAAACATGGAGGTGACTTGAATTTCTCAGTTTTATTTATGAAGATCATCTTGGACAGTGTAAATTTCTCATGTATTTAAAAAAAAGAAAGATTGCACATGGATGGTGTATCTGCAAATGTAGGCTACAACCTCTGTAGATTAAGGATTGTATTTGATTCTATGGCTTCACTGAGGTTGGAGTAAAAAATAAAAAAAACAAAAAGACACTGTAAACAATCAGGTAAACAAGTGTTTTCTTTTTTCAGGTGCATGTGTGTGATTAGTTTGCTGCACCTCACGAGTCACTTGGATAACAATTTGTAGCTGTGAGTTCATGGCCGTGATGCCACAGGCTAGTAATTAAAACAGCTTACAGCTGCCAATAAAACTGACAGTGGAGTCAATTAAGTTCACGATACATTCCTGACCTGCAGCCATTAAACTCGCATACATGTCAGTCACTTCCCGCAGGTACACACCGGTATGGCTAAGGTGAGAGGAGACGGCAGTGACAAGCGGTTCAGCCTGCGAGGGCACGTAGGCTGCAAGGTTGTGTGTCTGCAGCAGGAGCAGTGGTGACAGCAACAAACTCATGCACAGGATGATCCATCTTCGCGCCACCGGCCGTGAGCCCCCCGCTCTGTAGGAGCCACTCTCGTGGGGGACTGAGATCTTGTCCACTTCTCTGATCCTCAGTGAATCCCACTTTTTCACATCGAAATTACGCACAAGAGGACCGACGTCTGTGTCTTTCCGAGAGGGCAGAGGAGTCTCCTTGAGGACCTTCAACTTCTCCCGAAACTCCTGCATCTGCTGCAGAAAGCACAGAGGCTCCGTGACGCTCCGGAAAGACTCCGCGATGCTGAGCGCCCGCCTGTGCTCCTCCATCGCAACGCTCAGCTTGGTGATCTCCGGGTCGTATGCCTGCATTACCACCAGCTTCAGTGTTTCAAAATCGGAGAGGATCTCATTCTTTTTGCATTCAATGGTGCTGATGAGTTTGTCGAAATAGTCTTTTACCTTCTCTGCGTCCTTGGTGACAGACTGGAGCGCCTTTTTCTTACTGGCTTGTAGCGTCTCCAGGCAGGACAGCATATCTGCGCTCTGCCAGCTCTCCACCCCGTGAAGCAGCTCTTCAAATGCCTCCTTCTCTCGGTCATATGCTTCCTCCAAGGAGCAGAATTTATGCCCTCTGTGGTCATCTGTTGTTGCGCAAAAGCCACAAATTAGATTTAAGTCCGTGGCGCAAAATATGTTGAGAGGCTGGCCGTAGTGTTGTTTACAAACAGACATCTTGGGCATAACCCTGATTTTGTTGTACTTCTCCACTATTCCGCGCAGGGAGTAGTTGATCTGCAGGCTGTTTGCGCCGTTGTGAGGGCTCTCTTTGCGGCATGTAGGGCATTTGAAAGGTGTCCTGTAAGCCGGACCTCGGCTCCCCTCCAAAAGTCCCTCCAAGCATTTCTTGCAAAAGCTGTGCGAGCACAGCAAAACCCGTGGGTCGTCGAAGAGACCGCAGCAGATCGGGCACGTAAGTTCCTCTTCTAGCTGCTCCATGGTGCCCTGTAAACACATCATCCAGGCGTCAAATCGGTGCGTAATTAAAGCAAAGGAGAAAACCCAATAAATCAGCACTTAATGAAACAGACTACAATACGCACCCACACTCAGAGGGGGGATGCTGCCCCACAGGTAATAAATTACACACGAAAATGCTGTAGCATCACAAAGGATACAGATATTTGCAGTCATGTTCCAGCTGCGTGTTGAGTATTCCCATCCAGAAAGTGAAACTGACTTGCATCGCAGTGCCCGCGTAAAAGGTTGGCATGAGCTCTGCCACACACTCCGTTTGGACACTTAACGTCAAATATCATCCTGATTTCTGCAAACCAGCGTGCGTGAACTTAAACGCGCGTCGTAAAAGCAGGCTGCATATGAGTCAAATCGTTAATAACTTTCTAGATGCTGACTATAAAACGCAAACTATTTCCCTCCTGGCTTTGTATTACACAACAGCAGGACAGTGGTTAGCTGAGTCGAGCCCTAAATTACCGCCGACTAACCAATCCAATGCGACAAATTATCGACAAACAGGGTTCGCGTTTGCGTTGCTCCTGTTGGCAAGGTACTGAAGTAGGGCTGTGACAGATTTTGCAAGCGCATAGTAACATGCAACTACTGGACCAAAAGAATCACTCACCAGCTGCTGAGACGCACAGTGCAACGCAATCATGGCGCTTGTTGCTGTGCAGACTTCGCCCTTTCCGGGTATGGATTTAACCGTTTCAGTGGCACACAGAAAATCTCAATACGCTCATTTGTTCGTGTTTGCGCACAAATAAACCAGGATCTGCGCTACAATGCCAATAACACAAGCGCTACTGTTATATCAAGTGCTTTGCAGTACGTAATTTTGGACACGGGGGTTGTTTACGTTTTTGTCCCTGCTGGGTAACTTGCAGAGGATCCCTGCCTGTGCGATGGGGGAGGGGCTGTTGCTATGCAAAACATTACAGCGTGAAAAACTGTCAACTAGGTTTTAGTCCCAGTTTGGTATCACGGGTTTTTTCTACACTAACCCACTTCAGTCGCTTGCGTGGGTACTTTTAAATATGTGCATCTGTAAACAGTTAACACAATAACAACAAAGGCGCGAGTGAAGGCGGCCAGCTGCGTCGACTGACATCAAAACTTCAATGTGATGTGGCACCGAGCTGACAAGTGGCACGTTATCTTGGCACCGACAGAGGCTGAGAAAGACTAACTATACTGTTCATCAGGAGCATTATATCTGCTCTATGTTGAAGCCTTTGAGGATGCTCTTCAGATGTCACCAATTCTGCCCATTAAACGTTGAAAACATGTTATAAAACTCACTTTTCTCCTCTCTTGTGGTTATGTAACATCGATACCCAATAGTTAGTCACGTGTAGGAATTTTGACCTTGATTTTCTTCCCTTGTTTCCATGCCATCAGGAGCAACTGCCTATCTTAGCCGCTGTGATTGGATACAGTTGGGTAGCAGGAGCTTATGTGTAGTTCCGACCTCTGCCGCCCGGTGTCGCTGTTGCGTGTGTCAGCGGGCGGGTGACGTTTTGACGCCGGGCGCTCTTTGGTTTGATGGTTTCCGGATGTTTAGCTACTATCAAGAATGGCTGCGATGTTTACGTGTTGTCTAGGCTGCTGCGGAGATGGCGGAACGGGGCATATTCCTCTCAAAGAAATGCCGACGGTTCAGTTAGACACTCACCACATGGGTACGTAAGGTTATCTGCAACTCTGTCAGTTGTTGTAACGACAGTTAAAGTCCTCACGCGCCTGGTTGGCTGTGTGAAAGTGACATGATGGTTTGCTACTTCCGCCGTTAGCATTAGCTAGCTAGCTCGCTAACTGTTAGCTCCTCGAACTGTTGTAACCGTTGTAGTTAAGTGTGTTTTTGGCAACATGGCGCTGTTACAGCTGTGTGTAATAACATCGCCACTTAATATACTTCCATACAAGGATAGCAGTTTGTTAAATACATCGCGAGTCGTGACGTGAAGCTCCTGCAACTACCCAATTATATTTACGTAGTCCAGTATCAAAATATGGCTAAAGGAACTTTACATTTTGAACAACATACGACATCCTCTGTAGTTTTTTTTAAAATAACATTTACATAATTTTATTTTCGAAAATTGAAACAAAAACTGTCCGACCTTCTCTTTATAACACCACACCTCATATAACACAGCTCTCCTGTTAGGACAGACAGTAACAGACATAAAGAAGTAACACCACATATACACCTGCACCTTTTCATCATTCCTCAACCCTGACCTTCCCCATCCCCATGAGTCTTTCTCTAAATTCTATTATACACGTATACATTTATCAAACGTGCACTATTGGGTAGATATAAATTCACACCATTATTGTTTAACTAAGTTGAGTGCCTCCCTCCCAGCCTCAGGCATGATGTAACCTGCCCCCTTCATCCTAGCAACAGAGAACTTCACAGATAAAATTTCTATCAAAGTGTATTTCCACTGCTGAGTAGCAAGACACCCTCTGTACTTTGACCCTCACGTTGGAGAAGAAAAAAACTCCCCAAATAAAACTCTGCTGCAACTGACCAGGAATCCCCCGGCCAGGACGGACAGACATGCAATAGATAACCCATATGATAAAAATATGACAGCTGTCAGTGTTAACGTTTCCCATTTTCTCACCTACTACGCTTGAAAAATCCTGTCTACATATTTTTAAAGCATATAAAGGTCCAGTGTGTAGGATTGAGTGGCATCTAGCTATGAGGCCAAGTGTTTAGGACAGGGGTCTGTAACCTTTACCATCAAAAGAAGCCATTTTTTGACCAAAATAAAATGCCTGAACCTGGAAAAAACACATTTGAGTCTTATGATGAAGGTATTAAGTCAAAACTAGCCAATAGGTGTAAATGAGCATTCATTAATATGTTTAAACACAACGTGGCCACTCTGAATTGTCGAGTATAATTATTTCTCTAACCTGAGTTGGGTTGCAGTGGTATACTGGTTTTAAGGTGTACTGTGGTTATCATACCGTTAACATTTGCTAATCAACAATATTAATCCAAAAAATGCAACCAAATGTAGAATCTCACTTGAGTGTGCACATCTCTCTCCCTCCAGACTGCATTTTAGACTTCTTACATATACCTCTATTTAAAAAAAAATTGTCCCAATTTTCAATTATAATAGTGTGTGTTCAATAAGAAATTTTCATTTCTTTAAGGGCCATTGTTACTAATAATATTAATATTATAATAGTGTAATTTAATATAATGTTAAACCGTAATATTTTTGGTTATCGTACCATAAAAATCTCATACCATTGCAACTCTAACCCTGAGGATATCTTGACTGTCAAGTGGCCCTTATAGATAATCAAAATTCCAACAGCAACTGGCTTTGTAAAATATTTGTAAAAATGTGAAAATATTAGTTGATTGATCAATACACAAAAAAATGAAGTGGTAATTGCTATCATTTATCAGCAAAAATCCTAAACTTTCTATTTCCAGCTTCTTAGATTTGAGGATTTGTTGCTTATGTCTGACTTTTTGATTGCAAATTGATTATGTATGGATTGTTTATTAGACAAAGACCTTTTGAAGTTGTCATTTTGGGCTCGAGGAAATAGTGATGGGCATTTTCTGGCACCTTGCAGACTAAACAGTAGATTAATTAACAACAGATTAAAGGTCTAATGTGTAGGATTTAGTCGTGTGTAGCAGAACTGAAACTTCTCAAATGTGCCAAGCGGGTAGGAGAACCTTGGTGGCCAACGCGAAATCACTAATGGTCCTATCTAAAGCCAGAGTTTGATTTTTCTGTGCTGGGCTACTTAAGATACAGCATGGTGGACTCTGTGGAAGAGGACCTGCTCTGTATGTAGATATAAAGAGCTCAATCTTAGGTAACTTTAACACAACAGTTCTTATTTTCAGGTGCTTATAAGCTACTCAAAACATAGTTGTGAACTTTATATACTATTTCTGCCGATAGATGCTCCTAAATCCTCCACGCTGGACCTTTAACTGGCAGGAACTTGTTGCTAAATTGTTTTTACAGAATGTATTCTTGCCTTTGTTTCACAGGCACAGATGTTGTCATTGTGAAGAGCGGTCGGAGGATATGTGGCACCGGAGGCTGTCTGGCCAACGCTCCTCTGCACCAGAACAAAAGTTATTTTGAGTTTAAGATCCAGTCCACTGGTAAGAGCATGGCTTCCAGCTTATGATCCCACCATTCCCTCACCTCTGCTGCCTTCTTTTCTTGCCAGATTGACATTTTCTGGTGCATTCTTTGTGGGAGTTATTGATACCGACACGCTGCTGTTTTTAGCTGCAACATCTTGTGACTGCATGCTCACTGGTGCAATTCTCTACACTTACTAAGACAATATTTGAAAGCACAAGAAATTTGCTTCCTTACATAGAAAGTAAAGCTACACTTATTCTGCTGCACACCTACCGGCGACCATTTTTAGTAGTGTTCATTTACGAATGTGCATGCAAATCTTGCGTACGTATTTTTTATCTCAACTGACCTTTGTCATAAATTTTTACTCTTTGTGTAAAAAATGTTTTAAACTAGCAGGTAATGAGTGTTGTGCTTTGTGTTCAGGTGTGTGGGGAATAGGTGTGGCCACGCAGAAAGTGAATCTTAATCAAGTGCCTATGGGCAGAGACACAAACAGCCTTGTCCTGAGGCATGATGGGTCTGTGTACCACAATAATGAAGAGAAGAATCGCCTACCCGCAAACAGCCTTCCTCAGGAGGGCGACATTGTGGTAAGTTCAAAATGTATTTTGATAATCCTGAATTTAGGTTTGACAACTTTATCTTTGAGTGATTTGAGTGTAAAGCTGAAAATGAAAAACTTTTTTCTCTTATTCTGCATCTTGTCAAATATATGAGAACTGGCAAGTGTAAACTGACAGACAATAAAATGATTAATAATCTAAAATAACTGGGTATGTAAGGAATTTGATATTAGTCATTTCCACGTCTGGTTAAGTGTGGAAAAATAAACAGAGTGTGGGGAGACATTTGTGTTTCCAGACTATTGTCCCTATTCTGTTCTCTAAAATATGAAATCCAGAGTTTCTAAAAATAAATTGATCACACAAGCAGAGTGTTTTTCGTGGCGTTTGGAGCAGCCACCACAGCCAAAATGTTTACCACTGTGAGAGGGAGTGCAGGTCAGAGTGAGTTGATGTTGTTGAAAGCAAGGCAAGAAGTAGCGTGCGACTGAATACACTCCTATGCAGAGCTGCAGCTACGCCTGTATGTCACAGCCTTCAGAACAGCTCTGCACAAAGTCTCTTGAATCTCTAACTTAACTTTTGAATATCTAAATTCCAGGTTAATGCAATACACTTCCTGGAAACAGCAAGAGATATGTCGATAAATTTCCTGGAGCTTTGAATTAGGTTCAAATTTGTAACATTTCCTAGCTCTTTGTACTCGGATGTTAAACGTGGTCTGACAAATCTATCGAGAAGTCTGGAAAATAATTTTATTGTAAATGGAAAATGTTTAGGAGCATTGACATGACACTGACACAGGCCCTTAAATGATGTCTTCTAGAGGTGTAGTTGTTGACATCCCTTTTTTATCAGGTTAGTCTGCACACATATTGAGCTGTCTCATGGTTTTCCAAAAGGCAAGTGAGTGTAGATTGTGAGACGTTTGATCAGCTCCTTCAGACTAATCATCTGCCAGAGGCCTGTTGGGACAGGCTGGCCTGCAGGTCCATTGAGAACCACTGTAATTTTATTTTTAATTTGTGGGTATTTTTTTTAAGGCAGCTGGCTGACATCGATGGTTGCATTGTGTTGCTTAGTCTAATGTGGGCTGGATAGTCTTCTGTTAGTGCCAGAATTGCTGTTTGGCATCAGTTAATAAATTAAAACAGATTTTTCATTATACTGAGACATTTATTTGAATTTTTTTTTACAAACCTCAGGACTCGGAAATCATTCTGTAAAGTATAATGTTACGGAGTACAGACTTGGGGTCTGAAAAAAATGGATTGTAGGTGTTGGATGGTGCAGCAGAAAATCCTGCGGGTGCAGGCTGTGGCAGCTCAAAACCCAGCTCAAAACCCAGCAGGGGCAGATGGGAGCTGTCCTAAAACTCATGCAGATCTCTGTCTGTCACTGTCAGCAGGCATGTCATTATCTGCACAAAGCAGTGTGTGACATATACGACAAATCTTTCTTTTTTCTGTTCCAAACTTAAAATACAAACATATTAAAGAAAATGTAGTCTTGCTTTATATGTAGTCACGCTCGTTTTATGACAGAAGGAGAAACCAAAACAGCTTCAAGCTACGACAACTAGAACTTAACACTTGGTGACTTTGGAGACCCCTAAAGTCCTTCAGTGGCAGTACTGCATTCATGTGAGCTGTACTAGGGAGACCCCATCACCACCACTATTCTACACATACACATACTCAGACAGCAGAGCAAAGACATGGATACAGATGAACTCATTGCAGACTAAGTAATTATGCAGGACTGAACCTGTGTAAAATTAATTAGCCTCTTCACCATATCTTCCTAAGTTTTTTTTCTTAAATTTATTACCAACAAAGTTCCTAAGAAAAGTCTGCGTCAGATTCACGACGCGTTCTTTACCCACAGAGTTGTTTGCACCTGTGCTCTTGTAATGATGAATCTCATTGTCCTCTTGCGTGACAATTGATCTTAATTAGCAGGACAGTTCTGAAATGGAAGTACTTCTGCAGCAAGTTAATGCCAAACGAGCTGTCATGATCAGCAGCATCAGTGGTAAATCTATAGAATAGAACAAATAGATGCATGTGACGCTAAAAATACTTGTTAATCAACCACCCAAGCCTCAAACTGTGCATAATAGTATCACAATTGTGAGGATTAAGGACAGAGATGAGTGCCATGGTGGAATGTGTGTGTTTTAGAGAGAGAGACACAGTGACAGAGAGAAGGGGGAAGAGGGTGAAGGTGGACTATTTCACACCATTTTTCTATAAGTTTTTAATAACTTACTCTTAACTTATCTGCCCCAACTGCCCGCGATATTTTCTAGTCTAATCAGTCCCTAAGTATTAGGTGGCATGATTCTCGTTAACATAACTGATGTGAATTGAAGTGTTAGTGTTGTGTTTATTTCAAAAGGCATTAATATAAATTAAAGAAAATAGAAATTATAAAAAATATAGTTATTTGAATACTTTAATTTAGCACAACTGTAGAACTGAAAAAAAGCAATAACCATTTATTTTGTACAACCCTGTCAGCGCAACATGTGCGTAAGAGTGCTGTTGAGTGGGCGTAGATTCTGTTCTTATCTAAAAACCTATCCGAAATGAGAAAACATTGGCGAATGTGAGAATCTTTGAAAACTGTGTATGTGGGTTTCAAGAGAAAAATTCTTCTTAGTGACAGTTAGGGAATCAGGCCCAATTAGTTTCCTCATGAGACAAATATAATCTGTCAGTTGGTTAACACGATCCTTGATCATTTGGTTTTAATTATAGCTTTAACTGTGCTATGGTGGGGGCTAATGTATAGGATATATGAACACCGGTACATTAATAATAATCTGTTCTTGTGAAGCTCATCATCAACCACATTTGTGATGCTTTTTTACACACAAGACATGTAATTTAATGAGGTATGGAAGGGCCCCTAAAAGACTAATGAAAATAAAATAAATTATTTAAAAATTTATGGCTAACATTTTTGAGGTGTGCTCATTTTGCGTGATGTTGCACGATGTACAGTAATAATAATATAATATCTTAAAAAATATCACAAACTACAGCTTAAAAATGTGAGGCCCTCCGATTTAGAACACAGTAGAACCAGAAGGTTGGCTTTTACTTAATTTAAAACTGATTTGTACAATATAACAGAGGATGCTCCTACCACTGAGTGATCCATGAAAGTTTTCGACTAATAGTCACAGGGTCATGGAGCCGTTAACAAAACCCACAAACATTGTTATCTATTTACTTTATGACTAACTACTGCAGCAATAATCTGGAAAAAGAACCTCTGTTTAACACTGATTTATTTTCAGTATAAATGCCTTTATTAATGGTTTTAGATTGATTCAAGTTGCCTGCACATGTCACTGCAGTTTCAACTTTAACTAAGCACTACACTGCTTGTACGTACACTGCAAGCTACTATTGTAGGAACCTTACATTTGTAATGGAAAAGCTGACTCTTTAGTAAGCTAACTAAGCTAACTGTCCAACAGAAAACAGGCCAACTCAGCATCGCTCTTCATCCCCATCCTCTCCTCCAGAGCTCGCCAGTGAAAATAAAAGTAAAAGCCAACCTCAGATTCCATCTTATTTGGAGCTTTATCTGCTTGCCGTTTTGCCTCCCTATATTTGCATTTTCTCTGTCCTGTGTCTACGACTGTTGGAGGTTCCCTTTGGATGCATGCAGCTACTGCCAGATTATTCTTTTTTTTTATAAAGTCCTGCCTGACCTCACCTGCGCACTGTTATTGGCTGGAGGCTACACGCACAGAAATGTCCTGGATACAGCAAAAATAATAAGAAAATACATCAGAGTCTGCACATAAATACACCACCTTGCAACTTTAGTGAGTCATAAGCAATGATTGAAAGGGATTGCCTTTGTAGTTTTATTTGTTTTAGGCTAAACATTGTGGGTTTTTTTTTTTTTTAGGAAAATCCTGCATAGTATACCTTTAACTGTTTGGCACAAGAGTTAACCATGAAGTCTGACACTTATTTATTACTCGCTTATAGCACAACAGACTTATGTACAATATTCACAAAGTCCTTTATTTAAAAAAAAAAAAAGCAACATTTTTGATCCACCAGAAAACCTTTAGTCATGTTTTAATGTCCTGTTTTGTGTCAGACACTTTTTTTTTTTGCCTGGATGACGAGTCATTGACCATAATCATGCAGTGATAATTAAAGCTCAATCATCGTGGTCCAGGAGTAAACAATGTAACAGCAGGAAGGAGAGGAAAGCCAAGAATGCTTGAGGAGGAAAGCATTAAAATAACAAGGAAAAGGAAGTAGTAGTCACAAACTTTGAATAGCCAGGCGACACAAATGAATGTTTGTTTTTAATAGATAAATGATGTTTAAATGTGTAATCATATTCACATGCTAACAATCAGTGATTAATTCCAGTTTTGTTTGTGTTCCTCAGGGCATCACATACGACCACGTGGAGCTGAATTTATATCTGAATGGAAAGAACATGCATTGTCCTGCCTCAGGGATCCGAGGCACTGTATACCCTGTTGTTTATGGTAAGTCTATTTGTTGGCTTGATAAGGTTGCGAGGACTGGTTACTCTCTCTTTTATTTTTTGACTAATTCAAACAAGTTATGTGAGCATAACTGACTGCCGAGCTGGGGCCTGTATCACAAAGCGAGATCAACCTTTCCTGGGTTACCCAGACCTATCCTGGGTTGACTAACCCTAACAATGGCAATCAGGATAATCGGTATCACGAAGCTGGATATCAACTCGGTAACTCAACCCAGTGTTGCTTTATCAAGAGCTGTGAACGCGCATGCAGCGGACCAATCACAATCATGAGAGAAGCGCAGCGTCACTGAGCGTCACTGAGCGTCCTCACAGAGCGTCCTCACAGAGCGCCGTATGTGGGGGAGAAAAAAGTATTTCTCGTGAGGATCAGAGATTAATTCTACTAAAATATGAGGAGAAGAAAAGCAACATTACAGAAAAGGCCAACACCGTGGCAGCTGCAGGAGGAGGAAAAGTGTGGCAACGCATAACGGGATGAATAATGTTTTTTTAGTTTCGATTAGTTTATTTGCACATAATGTTAAAAACAGACCGTATAAAATTTACAAGATTAAAAAAAGAAAAGTACCGGAGAGGTTAGAAGCCACTAAAAGCTTATCAAAGAAATTCCCCTGTCAAAACATCAATGAAATCACATGATAGAGAAGAAAAAAAAATGAGTCAGGAAAGAAGAAACCGGAGGAGAGAGGGAAAACTCAAGATAAAACAAGGTAGCAAATAAAATGATGTGTAGGTTAAATTACTCATCACTGGTTCAAGTAGCTACAGTACCTGTACCTGTACATCTGACACTTATCACATCCTTGAATCCCATGAAATCAATGCTGCGCAGATGAATTGCGTGTATTACAATTATCGTCTAACATCATTGCGTCTGATAAATTGGTCTTCTTTGTCATAACGTTATATATGCTACAATAAAGCTTAAAGCTGACGCCACAATTAAATCATATCAACACCAAATTGATAGTCTGAATAAAATCATCCTGATATTGAGCTGTGTTAGAAATTAACAGCTGCGCAAAAATATACCTAGTCTCCCTCTTTAAAAAACAAAAAGGAAAATCCCTCAAACACCATGAAGTGTAGACATATAGGCTACTTTCCACATTTCCAGCAGCAAAGCTGTCAATTAGGCCCATTATCTTTAACAGGGATCATTTCCTCCAACAACAAAAAAATGTTGGCACTAATATATTAAGTGTCCGCAAATGATCAGTTTCTTTCTTATGAAGGGGTGAGATGAAATTTTGACTTCTTTCCACTCCTTTTTGAACAATCTTTTCATTGTCTGTTGTTGTTGCTTTCTTTTCTTTTTTAATGTTCAAAATAAACTTTCAAATCACAATCAATCAAATGAATTAAACTTCCCATCATGACTGGGCTGCATTTCTGTCAGCGGAGTCATTTTTTTTCCCGAACAGCTGATTGGCCCGTGGGTGGTGCTTTTTATAGGATCAGATTCAACCCTGAACTTAACCTGCTCCGGAGCAGGATAGCCGTTCAGAGTAACTTACCATGGTGATCTACCCCGATAAGAACTGAACCGGCTTCGTGAGACCGAAAACCCAGGGTTAACCCTGAAGTTACCTCGCTAAGACATTAATCCTGCTTCGTGATACAGGCCCCTGCTCTCTCAGAAACTGTAATGGTAGTGACAGTTTTCATCCACTAGAGGGCTGCATTTGTGCATTTTTACATAACACTGCTGATATCAGGCTGTTGGTTGTCCTTAAAGGGTCTTTTTCGATGCATATTTGACCACAAACATATTTCAAACATCCAAGACTGAGTTATGTGGACTAACCAAAAACAAAGCCTTTAGCAGGAAGGGACAGTGTTGCCACAGAGATTACAAACATTCAGGGATAGTTGGGATTTTTCAAAGTGGGTTGGTATGAGGTACTTATAGTCAGAGTATGACACACAGGAGAGGTCTGTCAGCAGTTCGGAGAAGCAGGCTGAAGTGCCGACATGGAAGCTAAGCAATGTACTTCTACATTCTACTTTTACACTTCCACTATAAAAAATCAATATCAGTTTAAGTGTATTCTTAATTGAGAGTCTTTTCACTGCTTTACCTTTCTGTCAGACAGCCCGTTCTGACAGGGAAGCCTTTAACGCCTTCAATTTCTCATCTGTGCTCTTGTCAGCGCCACCAGACTCCATTGACAAAAACAGTAATTTTGGCTTGCTGAACACAGGAACTGCTGTTCTACTGCTGCCTCCATCTATTCGTCTGTTTGTATTATTGTGATTTTGGTGAATCTGTACTAACCCTTTTCAAAAGCCAAAGTCAGACAATACCACAAAAAGAAAACAAACAAAATAACTGATTGTGACAGCTGTAGACCAGCAGCTCCTGTGTTCAGCGATGTTAAATTGCTTTTTTTCTCAATGGATTCTGGTTTAGAGGAGAGCAATATACCTGCTTCATTTCACTTTTTAAGCAGTGAAAATATTCTAAATACAGTGTTTGCTGAAACTGATAGTGGTATTTTTAGATGGGACTTTTTTTTTTACGTGGCTAAATAAAAAACATGTTTTATTGCTGACCCCTCCAGGGTACATTGCTTTGCTTCCATGCTAGACTCCAGCCTGCGTCTCCAAACTAGGGGCGTGCCGACTTACATCTACATCATACAACCCTACTTCAAAAGATTGGACACTATCCCTTTAAGCTAGTCTGTAAAATCAACTTGTGATTTTCTGTTTGAAGGAAAACATGTAGTTTTGCCTGTTCCTGTCGGACAGAAAAACTGCAACAATGACTCATTTGTTTGAGCTTTCTTGTGCAAACACCCTCTGTCTTAAGGCACTGATAATATTCCTGAGTTAGAAACATGACCAGAATCACCCTGGATGCTTTCAGAAATATTATTACAAACTTTACAGTTAGTTTTCTGATGTACATGTACAGTAATATTATTCATGTTGGGGGCAAGACACAAAAATTTGTCTTTTCACTATTTTCTAATAAGCATTTATATGAACTGAATTATAAGAATAGGTTCATGCTCCACTCTCACTTTTCCATAAGAGCTCTCCATTAATCTGGTGTGTTTTTTAATAAACTGCTACTACCTGTGCTTTATTGAATATTAATGATGGCATAAAGATTTTTATTACATATAAAAATGAATGGGAACATTAACAATTGTAAGCTATAATGTTAGACGTCTTCATAGTCCCATTAAGAGACAGAAAATTCTACACAAGCTGAAACAGGCCAGCTGTCAGATAGCATTTCTACAGGATACGCATTTACCTGAGGTGGAACATGAACAGTTAAAGAAGTCTTAAAACATCCATACATAAAGATCAAGAGGGGAGACATATTTTAGTGAATGGATTAATTGATGCCATAGAAGTGCAGTTAATAACGAAGATGAGCCTAGCTTCATCACAACAGTGTTTAATATACTATTATAGTGTAGCACTGGACTGCTGATGATGGGAGGATATTTAACTGTGTAATGTTGCAGCTAACAGATCGCCCTATTTAAGAAAGGAGAGAGGTATTTGATGCCCCTAAAGAGGTCTTTCAACAAGCTATTCCACAAGATTCTGCAGTAGTAGTACTGGGTGTTATTCCTAAAGGTCTCAATGTAAGGAATAAGAATACCTCTTACATATATTACTTACTTACTTACTTAAAGTGTATATCCATCAGATGGCTGAAACCAGACCGTCCAACGTACAATACATGGATCCAAAAAGTCTGGGACCTTTACAGATGGAACAAATTACATACTCATTAAGGTTACAAAAATCTGTCTTCCTATCATCCGGTAGGGCTCAGCTAAACTCTTACTTTATATTCCCCCCATGCACATATCATACATATATTGTGTCGTAGTCTGTATGGCAAATTTTCTACATTTAGATTTAATATAATTTGCAAGATCCAGTTAAAGTGGTAATTAAAAGCCCTAAAATATTAAGCAACCCATCCCAAAATTTTGAAGGTAGTTTCATGAGCTGCAGTGGCACCATAGCAGTTCTGTTATTCCTCTGTTGAAACACATGATGCACTTTAAAGTTATAACTCACAGCAATGTCTGCTTTGTTATCTGCACCTCAAAGCTCAGTTTTTTAGTTGCAGTTTGTCTTGAAAAATGCTTGCTGTTTTGAAACAGCTCGTTAGACAGGTGTGGCAAACACATGATTTGTTTCTGAGGTGAGAGGTTTAGAAGTAGACCTACAAACATCACCTCTGCTGTTACCACACTTCACACTTTGAATTGTAAACATGACAGAGTACGCACAGTAAGTTGCTGTGCCAGTTGGCTTTGGAGAGTGTTTGGCCTGGACATGATGCTACTTCTCTACCTGAAGATCAATTGATAACTTATTTCAGTATCAACAACCGTAAACAAGCTGTAACGTTGTGTACTGAAAGATTATGTTCAAAACGTTGCTGTGGGAAAGTCTTTGACCCAATTTCTGCAGAACAAATAACTTTCAAAAATGAACCAGACAAAATGATGGAATGTTTGCTCATTTATTGCACTATTACTCCTGAGTCAGACATGACATATGATGACATATCAGTGACATATCGTTACCTCAGGGTGCTTTCAGACCTAGACTTTGCTTGCTTTGGTTTGAATCAGGGACTCATTTTGTCAGAAAGTTGCATAATTGCCTAGAGTTGATTCGTGTTCTCACGGCAGCATTTACAAGAGGACCAGATCAAATGCCGTGTCTCTGTCACTCTGCAGTTACACCTCCAAAACACTAGTCAGCGGTGGAGGTTTCTGTGAAGTGCTGTAAAGTTTAGTTAGTTCAAAACACACATTAAACACACATGAAACATGGCTTAATAGCAGCAGTGTTAAACACAAGTACACACATCAGCTTCACTATAACTCGCAGCATTCACAGACAAAACACTAACCCTCACCCTAACCCTGGACACATTTTCCTCACAAATGCAAAATGCTAACATCATTAGCACAAGCCTATGGCATTTTACATTGCATAAATTAGCCTAGTAGCTAGCAGACTTCTCTCTACTCATATAAAGCCAGGGACAACAGCAACATTTAACAAAGGTAACGTTACAAAATTCAGCTCCATAACAACTCACAAGGGTTCAGACAAAACAGCTGTCTTATACTAAACACGTTTTCCAAAAAAATACAACACGCTAATGTTATTAGCACAAGCCTATGGCATTTTACATTGTATAAAATAGCCTAGCGATGAGCGGAGATTTCCTCTGCTCATATGAAGTCAGGATAAATCACACACAAGACTTAAAATGCTACTTTTGTGGAGGCTTTATTGTCCTCACAATTTATTGTTTCTTGTATGTGTTAATTTAAGTTAAAGTAAATTAAAGCTTTGTTTCTACTGAGAGAAATGGTTTCAGCTTACAAAAATACGCCGCAACATGAAGTGACATTTCTGGGGAGGTGCAGGTCAGACTACGGCATAGTAGGCCGTCAATTCAATGCAGAAGTATAAATCCCATATTAGGAGGCAAATGAACTTGAGTTTGATTGGACTGGACCAAACAGGGCAGGTGTGAAAGCAGCCTTAGAGTGAGCTGTTTATATCCACATATGGATTGGGTCCACTTTCAGGGAGTCTGCAATATTGTTTCTACAGTAGCCAAGAATAGACAAACCAAGCACTGGCTCTAGACAGGGTGTGTTTTTTGCATTGGCCAGTGGGAAGTACCAGTTGGTTGCAATCCTCAATCTCACCACTAGATGCCAGTAAATCCCACACACTAGACCTTTAAATGCTGCCACTAGTAAAAATGTGTTGAAGTTGAGCATACAGTGTCTAAACTTGTGCTCATGTCTCTCTTCTCTTTTGTTCCAGTGGACGACAGTGCCATCTTAGACTGCCAGTTTAGTGACTTCTATCACACAGCTCCACAAGGATTTGAGAAGATCCTCTTTGAACAACAGATCTTCTAAAGGAGCGCCTCAGCCCCAGCCCCTCTTTACGTTGTCACCCTCCCCTGTATCTCATAGCAACCTCTGTGACACTACAGTTTGACCTTGATTGGATATTATGTGTGGCTTGAATGCCTCTTGTTTCATTTCCCCTGATTACTCTGTCTCTCTGCTGATGCTCTGGATTGACGGTGGAGTATCCTCGAAGGCGTGGGGATTTCTGATCATCGGTCAGCTATGATGGGCTGGTACTCACCCTTTATTAACTGAAACACTATCGGTTGCTGCTTACATTCTCAATCTGTGTGTAATGGTAAAAATGTTCCCATTTTTCAGGATCAGAAGCCATGTTTTATTAACATCGCTTATGTTTTTGATTGTGTAATCTCCTAAATGCCATACTGACATCGCAGCATACGCCCTGTATTTATTTGTATTTATTTGAGTCACAGATCAAAGTGATGTGTCTCTTTGGTATGACAAAATGAAAGGTTTTGGTGGGGCGGCGAGAGTTTGTGGACAAATGAAGGATCAGCTGACACAATACTGACACATCAGTCAACAGTATCCCATTCACTTTTTTATGTTGCCTTCTTCAGTTAAAAATACAGGAGAAAGTGGGAATATTGAAGCACTATTAATTCATGTCACTGTTTCAATCTGAAGTTTTAAAACACAGTGCACATTCCAGAGGACAGCCAGTGTCCGAGGTTGACATTTCACTGAGGTATGCTGAGGTGACGGTGATGGAAAATTTTCTTCAATGGCCGATATTAATATTTAAGCTTGATTTCTAAATCACTGCGACAACTAGCCCTTTAGATCTCCCACACTTTTCTCTCCTGAAATCTTTCATGGTGTATTTATTCTAAATATCAGAATATTACCAGAGCTGGTGCTGGCTGTCTCTGATTAGAGATACATATAAATGGTTAAAAAATGTCAATCTGTTGTGTTGTATTGGCATTGCATATCTGCTGCTGAAATGTGACAGTTCAGTATTTCAAATGCTTGTCTTTTGATTGCACTAATGATGTTATTGTACAAGCAAATCCAAATATTGTTGATTCATTAAACTTTTGTGTCTGGAGGCATAGTTTTTGTCAGAGTCCTGTTGTGTTTTTTGGTTGTAGATGAGTTGTGTGTCACATTAATGATGACAGAGCTGCACAGATTTCATGCACCATGTCTGTCTGCGGCCAATAAGTCGGATATATTATTACTGCGTCGAGGAAGCCGTGGAAACCAGGACAGCCCATGCAGGATGTATGCATTGACTCCTCCCCTCACTTGCGATCTGTTACGTCCTCCTCCTCCTCCCCCTCTCCGGAGCCAGCAGCAGCACAGGAGCTGCCGTGCCTCGTCTTTCACGGAGGAGATCCCGAAAGCCGGAGTTACAGCGAAACCCCATACAGCCATGGCAGAAAACGCCGGCTTGGAAAACCACCGCATCAAGAGCTTTAAAAATAAAGGACGTGATGTCGAGGTGAGCTGACATGTACATGCGAGTGTGGGTATTGTGAATCAGGTTAGTTTGGCGTAGAAAACCAATAGTCTTTGGGCCTCGTTGGGGAGTCTGGCCCCGGCTGCAGCTGCCAGCCTGCCAGAGAGTCAGCTAGCTAGCTATGTTAGCTTGCTAGCTAACATGAAGAGTTCGCCATCAAAAGTGCTTACTGGCCTATCTTGTTAACACTGATGCTGCTTGTAATTCAGCCATTTTGGTAACTGTTATCCAGCTAACAACGTTGCTCTGTTTTTATTTATTTAGTAATGTTTCTAAAGAGTAGGCAACACCACAGTTGAACCGTTATAATATGGAGAATTAAGGGCAGGCGATGTAGCTGTCAGTGCAAGCTAACGTTAACTAGCTAGTTGGACACCGGTGGCAGCAGAGGCAGGGCCCGACCGGCACCGTAACCGTGACATTTGCTGTGTTTTACAGCCGGCTGACCCCTAATAACACCAGTGTTAACCTGCGAACGTCACACACAGTTGCCATAATTGTTAAAAACATCAGTTTATATTGAATTACATGGTTGGTCCACATCCACCCTGACCAAACATTGCCCCTCCTTGTTAGCTTGCTAACGTCAAGCAAACGGCTAATAAGCCAGGTGAGCTAGCTAAACTGAGCTGCTAGCTAAACCACTTAGCAACACTTAGCTGAATGGTAATGATGCAGTGAGTTAGTTTTACTGGCTACTTTAGTGTGAAATATAGCAAATGTGTTGCTAAATTAAACAATATAAGTTCATAAATTTATTGTTTTATTAGAGACCATCAGGGAGAAATAGATATAGCATACCTGGATAACGTTGAGCTAGCATTTCTAATATAACTTAGTGTAACGTTATCAAATGTTACCTCACAGTGTTATAAATAAATGAATATTTAATACTACTGCAGCGTTATACATGGCTGCATTTTGTACTGTGTGCTCAACATGTTATCTTATATAATGTTGCTGTTATGCTGTATTAACACAGACAACACTAACACAGTATATTATCTGGATTACAGTGCTTACTTATGCTAGACTTGCCGCTATCAAGCATAACTTTGACATTAATTGTTCTTATATATGCCCTCTCTCTTATTTTATGTATTCTTATTTTTAATATTTCACTTCTCTATGTATCTGTGCTTATTTCTGCCCTCGAGATTACTAAAGGCTTTTGTTATCTTATAGGAAATGTAAATGTTAAAGACAGTTCTGGTTGCTTTTCAGGCAATTCCCATATTCTAGAAAACCCCACTGGTATACTATGTACCCTACCTCTAAATGGAAGGTCTAAAACGCCGGGTATTGCAGCATCATTCATCTAACAAGTCTAATTATAAATCTCAGTGACAGCATTTGTCTGTAATGCTCATTGACATGACGGCCAAACCATTTGGCGAAGGCCGTGTTCAGATAAGCCAAGATGAGGCAGGCTCACAGTATTGGAGAAAAGGAAGGGGAGATGTCAAAGTACAAAATATCTATTATATCTGCGTATGTTTTTAAGCAAAGTGCAGCTCTCTCAGCCTTAAGGCTTACCAACAAATAGACAAACAAAGGTACGTTCAAATGGCCCTTCAAAATCTGTCAGGGTGCTGTTTCAGCCCCAAAAGCCTCAAAGCACAGATTGATGCCCCATAGGTGGTTGTTTTGAAACTTTGCAGTCAGTGTGACAAGCACATGGCTACTATGACAGACGGGGCTTTGCCAAGTGCATTCCTGATGCTATTTCAGGCATCTTGGATGTCTGACCTGGGTCGCCTTAAGAGCCTCTGCATGAATGTGAGTTTTGCTAAATGGATGACTCAGACTACAGGAGGGGAGCAAACGCCAGTTTGGGTTTTACTTATTTAGGTCAGGCATAACAGATTGCTCTTCATTTCTGACATCATTAGGAGCAGCTTTGAATTGCAAAGCAGTAAAGTCTCACATGCTGCAGGTCATAAGCTTCTTTGTTTTGCAGGATACCGTATATAATGCTTTTATGGCTTATATTAGTCGGGCATTTTTACCCTGGAATACCATGTCTCTTTTTTTGCCTTGCAGAGTTGCTGGTTTCATTTACCATAATGCCTCAATGAGCTTTAGCAATTGAGTCTTTGTCGGCATATATTCTTTATTAATAGTTGATATTTTGAGTACAGCAATCAACAGAAGCTAAGCAAGATAAGCTGAGCTCATTAAAGTTCACCAGGCTACATGCATTTCTCTTGACACCAGCCTGGACGTTTATATTGAGATGTTCTCCTTAAGGGACACTTGTTTTGTTTGGGTCAATGTTGTGGCATTATTGTTGTTTTGCAGTGGTTGGGAGACACCTCTCCGCTCCGTAGCCTCCTGAGTTATGACTGTCCCAGATTACATAAGAGGCTATTTAGGAAGGCAACATGAACCTCTTCAAACAGTCACAAGATCTTAGACCATCTCAAACTGTTCAGGATGAACTGCTAACCCAACAGTCAGCCTGTCCTCGCTTTTGCTGTTTTTGTAGTCTTTTACCTTGAATTGTGTCAGTGGTGGTTTCTGTTCTTGGTTTTCACTCACAGTCATGTCTAAATTGGGGAGAAAAACAAGTCATCTGCGTGCCCCCTGTTGTTAAAGTTTTGCCATTTTGAATGGTTATAAGATCCCGAAATGAAGTAACTTGTTAATGAGGTGTGTAATCTAATGGAAAATATACAGTGTGATATCTCTGCTCAGGATATTTTGTGATTTATTAGGCAATTATGTTATCCATGTAAAAGGTTAAAATTAATATTTTTACACTGTAGTAATAGTTGAAAAAATGTCAAGTGTTTTCTCATTTGCTGTCTCTTTTTTTCTTTGTTGCAGACTATGAGAAGACATCGAAATGAGGTGACAGTTGAATTGAGAAAGGTGAGAAACGATGCACTGCCTGTCTCCACACACACACACACACACACACACACACCACGCCTCAGTCAGTGTATTATAGATTAATCTCAGATTCCAGACCAGTGGGGTTGGACTGGTCTGGACTGATTGGGTTTGACCTGCCGAGTTTAGGCTGGGCCGGACTGTAATTTCTCAAAATTGCTTCAGCTTGGGTTTGCTCCAGTTTCTCTCTTTTTTGTCTTTTAATGCAGACTTTATAGTCTGTGTAACGTCCTGAATAATGTATGGTCTGTGTTGCCATCAAACCATCACGACTCCCGTCTGTCATTGATGAGGAGACATGTTATCCAATCTCTATTTAATATATGTGATATGACAGTTTTTGAGCTGTCCTTAACATTTGGTAGGAGAAGGCACGTGTCGGAGATCGTGTCATAAGTGTCTGTTACCACAGTGAAAAGACTTCGGTTAACTTAAGCTTGTAATAAATGTTTTAATATTAAAAAAGTCAGGCTCAGACAGAAACTGTGGGTTCATGTAGGGTAGAGCCTGATTTTTTTGGGGGGCCGATTATAGCTCTAGTTGGACTCATTGAGAAAGTTGAGTATGTTGAGAACCACTAGGAGGCAACCATACAGTCTGTGCAAGTAAGTGTTGTAGAGCTCTACATTTAAGGTCATTGCGTCTGGCAGAACTAGCTCTTCGATTAATCGTTAATAAGTGTTGCTCAAGCTTGATATGACACAACTCACGTTTTACCCACTATTACACTTTTTCTTGCAACTAAGCATTTCTCATAAGAACCGTTGCAAGCTGTGAATTTTTGATTTCCCTCTGAACTTCAACTACGCTGACAGTTCTGTTTGAAGGCACTCCTGTGTGATTTCCTCCCCCCGTGGTCATTAATTACACCCCAAAATACCTGTTGGGCTGGTCCGTTTATAATTAGGATCCCTTCCCAGCAGACACCGTCTGAGGCAACATGGATCTGTTGAGCATTTATGTGTTTCTGTTGTTGAATTTTTCTAATCCTTGCTCAGTTTTTGTGAGTTAATGGTCGGAGAAAAAACTTCCTCAAAAGCTTAAAACAGTTTGTTTATTTAAAGTATTTACAGGTGAGCAGAAGAATGAGTACAGACAGGGTACAAAGTTTTCTACCTGGAGTGTGTTCAATTTGGCCAACACAGTTTGTTGCCGAATTATGTTGCACTGCAACACAAGTTGGGCCAGGATCCATTTTTGTTGCCAGGCTACTGTGTTTGTTGTTACTTGTTGCATTCCGGCTGTTCCAGCATGGTGATGGGACTGAAAGGAGAGGGGAACTATGATTTGTTGATGTAGTGTTAGTGTCTGCACAGACGCACGTGTTGATAGTCTCTGCAAAACATGAACAATGGGGGAATATACTTTTCTTAGTTGTTGTTTTTATGTATGACATACTTTTTGTCGTGTTGGTCTTCTACTGTGCACAGTGGGCTTAAAATGAAACGAGGACTGTCAGATTAAAATGGCTTCTGCTTTAATCAACTGGCCAGTGTAGGAATTTTTACAGTGTTTAGTTGGAGTGTTTTATATTCTTTCCAGTCACTGATTACCCAAGTTTATGACCCACAGACATCACAAGATGCAGGCATTTATACTCCTCGCTCTCTGTAGGGGATATTCGCCTTCTTTCTGATCACTGCTCTGCTTTTTGATGGCATTGTCCAAAGAGATTTGATGCATTCAGTTTGATATGCACA